TTTTGGTTCTGGGGATCAAACTTGGGTCCTTGCGCTTGTGAGACAGGCAGCAGAACCACTGAGCTAAATCCTGGGACCCTTAAAATTTTTTTAAATCAAGTATTTCAGATGCTTTCATTGAGAGATTGGTTCAAAGAAGAAAAGGCTTATAAAGTCTTTGAAAATGTTTAAAACTTTAAACATAAGTGATAAAGGATGAAAATAGTATAATAAGATAGAGACTGGAAAATTAAAGCCTCTTTCCCCACACAGAAGACAAGAGTCCCCTTCACACAAAATAGCAACTGTTAGCTGTTTTCCTTCCAAATCTTTGTGTTTCCTGAATCTAAAACATATGTGCTTTTATAGTCAAACAGATGCTTACATGGGCATATATGTTAATACAACCCTTAAAATAGGTTTTCAATTTTTAAAAAAGTGTGAAGACATTTTTGAGACTTTCCCTATAAACATGTGCTTCAGCATTTGGATAAACTATTGTTTATGTAACCAGATTCCTACTATACTCTTCAGATTATGCCATTTTAAACAGCTCTGATAAACATCTCTAAGATAAATTTAAATTAATCACCTTCTAAGAGGATATTAATATATATTCATATCAAAAGTATGTCAGCATTTTTAATAATTACACAATATTTCATCACATGGTGTACCATAGTGAACTTAACCATTCCCTGGAACCTGGACATTTATTCCAAGCAAATAAGTAGACGGGAAATAATAGCTGTGTACCTGCCACATTAAAGGCACTCTTGTATTGAGAAAGGAGTCATACACTTCTTCCAGTTCTTGAGTTAGGGTGCTCTCTCCTTTTATAGCAAGTTGAAGATCTTTTAAAGATTTATGTATGACAAATAATAACTTATCAAAGCGTCCAATTTCTTGATTCAGAAACGTTATCAAGACACAATGAATTAGTGGATCATGGCCTGAATGTTTAAAAAGAGAAAGATAAAATTATGGTATCTTACAGATTAAAAAGAGGCTATGCATGGAGGGACATAGGGAATTTCATATGTCTTGACCAGAGATTGCAGCCTCTGGTGACACAACTGGCCGTTTGGGACCACTGTTGTGATGTAGTACGTAACTGACCAAATGTCATTATGGGTGTGACTATAACCCATATTTTGATAGGCCATAGCTTAACCTTTAGTTCCAAAATAACCATTTTAAATGGCTATAATATACTTGTTAAACTTAGAAACCTGCTCTAGTCCCAGAATTCAGCTGCTCTGCCTTGGAAAGATATGGATGCAGAGATCTAGCCTTCCTGTTTCAAGCTTTTGGGTGGTGTGGGCTTTCTGAATTGTATTTGCCTTTCTCCTGACACCAGCTCTGTTCCCTCTGTCACTGCTCCCACGCCATCCTCACCAGACATGTTTTTGTAGACAGACTCCCAAGTAGGACTGGCAAGGAGGGCCTGCAGGGTGCCCAGGGTGGCACCTACAGCCCCGTTGTCCTTCTCCACTGCCAGGGGCAGCTGTGCCTGAATGTCACACAGGATTTCCATCACCAGCATGTCAGGGCTTTGCTCAGGTCTGCAAAGGAACAGGGGATAAGTGAGAGCTGTCCTCTCAGAGGCCCAGGGCACCGTGCATTCTCTCCGCACAGTGACATTTACAAAGAAATGTGTGTTCAAAACACCTTCTTAGAGTTTCCTGCTGAAATGTCCACCCCTCTGCCTAAGAAGGGTCCCATACTGACTCTGGATATGTCCTCTGTGTGTCCCTCAGGGCAGTGACAGGTGGGTGAGGCACTGGGTGAGTGGCACACCTCTCCAGAGTCCCCTCTCTTTGGGAACTCTGCTTGCACCCACATGCCTGGTGCTATCCTCACGGCCCAGTAGGCATCCCTTTCTGTGCCTGAGGATCTTTTTGCTGTAACTACACGGCCTCCCAGCTGTGAAATCCACCTGCAGTGATGTGTTCTTTATTCAGTCATCACACTCTGCCCCAGACTTTAAAGTTTTGGCTTTCAGTAGAAGTCAGCCAATTTGGTTTCAAATAATTCCCAAAGTCAAAATGTATTAGCTATGAGGAGGATGGTAGATCTTTCAAGGTAGGTCTTCCTACAGCAGCATTTCAGGGTCACCACCTCCTGCCTCGATGACCTATGGCATGTGGACAGACATTTTCAGAGTGCTTGTTCCACGCATTCTCTTACAACTATCTCATGTCTTGCTGCTTTAGCTGGGGGATGCTAACACTGTAGACCCAGGCATTAGACAAAGGGTCTACAGAAAAGCTAATCTGCTACTCTGGGGATCTGCTAGGAGTTTCCAAGATCCTCTGGGGATTCTTTGTGCATGAGCCAGCTTTCCTTAGAGGAAGCAAACAGTATGTATTTGTTCCATCAGTGAAATGGGAGTTCAGCTATCTCTGTACTATATCTATAGGGTGACACTGGCTGTTGTGGCCAAACTGCCAACCCAAGCCACAAGCTACCTCCAGAATTCAGCCATGTCACTGATTTTATTTTGTGTTGCTGCAGATCCAACCCAGGGCTTCAGTCCAGGGCCTCATGCATGTGAGGCAAGAGTTCTATCATTAGCCCACCCTAGCCTAGATGTCAGTTTAATATAAATTTTGGTCAGAGGGATAGGAAGAAACTGTAAGAGAGTGAAGAATTCTAAATGGTTCAAAGGTTTCAGAAGTACATGGAAAAAAAATCACTACACTTTAAGGTCCAAGGAAATGTAAAACTCAATCTGTACTCAGAAGTAATAGATAAAATATAACTGGAATTCAGGACATGGGTGAGGTGATCACTTTATAGAATTACAGAATTACTGTTATCTTGACAATAACGATAAATAGTTCAGGGCATCCTGTCAATACTGTCAATAAGAATTAATTCATATTTTGGTTAAACTCTATGTTTATTTCTTTTCTGACCACAAACAAACTGGAAAGTCAAACCAAAAAAATCATGCAATGTGATAAAATTGATGTATGCTAAATAACTTTCAAATTTTGAGAGATTCAGAATTACATGTAACTAGGATTAACAGAATCAAAACTGTGGTCAAGGAATGATGTTATTTAAAATATCTGTAATGCTAAGAGAATTAGGCCTCCTAAACCTTACAGGTCAGTCTTGTGACTACACTTTACAGGGGGTAACTGAGAAAGTGATTTAAATTTAGGATTTAATATAAACACAGCTAAATTATATAGATAAGTGAATAAAGAGGTTTAAGAGCTACTGTATTTGATTATTAGATTTCTAAAAATTACTGAAAACTTGAGAAGGTCTGGCAGACAGGCAACAGCAGTACATTAACTTTAGCATCTTTTTTTTTTTGGTACCGGATATTGAAGTCGGGTCCTTGCGCTTGCAAGGCAGGCCACCGACCTGCTGAGCTAAATCCTTGGCAGTACATTAACTTTATAAAGCATATTAATATATTTGAAAATGCTTGACTAAGTCTATAAATGGAATTAAACATTATTCAAAGACTTTTAGGTAGACTTCCAGACACAGACCTAGATTTCCAGGCTGAGTGTCAGGGCATGAGGAGCTCAGCAGATCTGAGCACCCTGCAGATGCAGACATTGTCGGATGTCAGATTGGGCTCACGGCTTTCTCATGCTCAGGGGCCAAGTGTGGAGCTGGGTAAGCCCAGACTTGGGAGGAAGGGGGCACATGCCCCACCTGTCCCTGAGCAGCTGTGCACCCCAGGAGATCCCAGACACATCCGGCCCTGCGAGGGCATGAAATAGCAGAACCCTCTGTTCCCCTGGCAGCCAAACCACTGTTCTGGCATCAACAAACTTCATCTTACTCTAGAGGCACAGGAGGACAATTAGGGTCTAGGCGTTCATGTGTTGTACCATCTGAATCACTCAGTAGCTGGCTGGATAAGCACACATCCTGCACACAGCCATGGGAGTACAGCTCACAGGTCCCCTTCACTCCTGACCCATCACTGGTCCCACCTCAAGGGAGCAAATAGATACAAGTCATATAGGAACGAATGCATCTGAAAATACCACCCACCAAATACAGTTCAGCCCCTTACTCAACAAAGCTTTATGCATGCTTGGTAAGTGTGTATGCGGTGCTTGCTTCTGCATCATGTGGAGAATCTGAGTTCTCTACTGTGTAGATTATGCTCTCCTGTAAGTTCTGCGCTGCATTTCCACATGAACACTGAACAATCTCCACCTAGCAGTTCCCTGTGTGCTCTCACCTGATCGCGAGCGTGACTGTGGCAGTGCTGGGCTGCATGGCAATGAGACCATCTGTGAACTGCAGGCCCTGGGCTTCCCTGCAGCTCTGTGTGGCCTCGGGGTGCATCCCTAAGATCTCTGGAGCATCCTCGTCAGGTACAGACTGGATAATGTGTATGTAGTCCTGGAAGCTTGCAGATCTGGGCACCAGCTGACATATCTGAAAAGCTAGCCACTTAGTTTCGCCTGTGTGAGACGGCACTTTCAGGAATGCTGAACACAACATTTCTCCAGAAGACTACTCAGAGGACCCTTCTTATTTGTATGTAGTATGTTCTAAAACACATGACCCCAAGGAACATCTGTGCCCACTGCACTGTAAAGCACACACAACATGTATTTATATAGACTCCTGGGAAAAGAAAGAAAGGGGAAAATCATCTAAAGGCTGAGATGACTCTGGTCAGCCATTGCTCAGTGACATACATCTGCAGGTGATGGGTACAATAAAGCTGATCATGTCTTTTTTTTTTTTTTGCAGCAAAACATGTAGAAGGAATGGAAATAATATTGTACTTTGGATTTTAAATGTCCCCCAAAGGCCATGATTGAAAGCTTGTTCCCTGGCCCGCATCTCTATGGTGGGGGGTTGGAACCTTTAAGAGGTGGGGCCTGGTGGGAGAAAATGATGTCTGGGGCATCCTCCCTCTCTCTCTCTGCTTTTCCACAGGGTACTTCCTCTACTGAGTGCTCCCACCACACTTCTGCCTAATGACCACTGGTTCTGAAACCGTGAACCACAATAAACCAGTCTTCCTCACAAGTTGATCATCTCAGGGATTTGTCACAGTGGCACAAAGCTGCTTGTCACAAATGTTAAGAACTTCCAGCCACTGACAAAGAAGCAACGCTTGTTCATATGGCCAGGAAAGTGGGCAGGGGCAGTTTTCTCGATGTCTTCAAGGAAAGCCCCAAAGTGTTCATGAGGCCACAAGCAAGACACAGCAGTCACTAGTAAAAGGAGGTAGGGTTATGACAGTAAGGAAGAGAAAGCAGTAAGTTGAGTGTCAAAATTTCCAATGTTTCAAAGCAAAGGGAGGATGGAAATATAGGATTTTGGGGTATATCTGTCATTGGACAGAGCTGCTGATGCCACTGCATGCTGCTACCTTACTTGTGCCCAGAAGTCCTGTACTTTGTACTTTGCAGGCAATTTAAAGGATTTTCAAGGGTTATTTTCTCTTAAGGGCTGACTTTAGACTCTAAACTAACATGTTGTTTTAAACAGTTTTATTTGAAGGCCATCTTAAAAACCTTACAGCTCTTTCTGCCTCAGCAGAGCCCGGCCCATGCCTGAGCACACACTACAGGCACCTCCTTCTCAGCCTCCATGCTCCTCTCCCGTCCCAGTCCCCATGCTGAGCAGGTTGAACCGGGCCCAGTGCTGGCAGGGCTGCAGCATCTGAGGCCTGGTGCCGGGTCTAACTGCAGGTCCCTCCACAGGGCCAAGGTCCATGTGAGGATGCAGCCCACAGGTTCCTGAGTTAGCCCTGCTGCTTGTTAGCTCTGTTGCTTGCACCCTGTGCACCTGCTTCTCCACCTGTGACCTGGGATGCTGCCTGTCCCCAGGCTGTCTCAAGCACTGACTGAGAAGCATTAGCACCTTGGCTGTGTGCTTTCCACCCCAGGAACTTGGGGTGTTGCTTTCTCTTTACTGTTCTTTTCATGGTGGCCCTGCATGATGCAGGGTTTAATGGAGCAGTGGGTAAACTATTTTTGTAATATTGTTCATGAAAGCCATCAAAATGTACATGAGAGTTTAGTAGGTACTATTTTAAATAATGAAACAGTGCTTAGTTAGAAATAATGGGTCAATGTGAGATGCATCCTTTTCTCACCTCACCGGAGAAGGTGAAGTCATCTCTCAGCACCTCTGGGTTGCAGAACCTGCAGAGCAGTGTGTCCAGGCACCGTCTGTCCCAGGGGTCGGTGATGCGGCCACCGTAGACCACCTCCCCGACCAGGCAGCGCAGCTGCTCCCATGGCAGGTCCGCATGCCTCTGCAGCACGCTGGCCAGCACCTTGATGGAAACCTGCGGGAGGTACATGAGGCCTTGCTTCTTCAGAATGTGTCTCATTTACCTGACCTTTTCCATAAAACCAGCACCTCCCAACAGCCACTCATTTTCTCTGTCACTATGTAGAAGTAGCAAGATGATGAGCTATTAGGAATGCACTTTATCACTGGTTTTGTTATTGAATTATTCATTATTACTGTTTTTTTCTTTTTTATTCTCTTTTATAAATTTTCCATTTTGCTGCATTCGCTAGAACTTCTGAGACAACACTGACAGTAGTGATCACAGCACCCTCGTCTGAGATTTGAGTTCATGTGACACAGTTTTAGTTTTTGGCTATTTAGAATGATACTCACTGCTGCTTTTTAAAATAAAGTCTTTTCCAAGTACAGGTAGTTCCCTATAATCTTATTACTTTAGAGTTTTTATTGCACAGTAGGCACTTTTCTGCATCTGATGAGATGATCCTATAAATTAGGATCAGATTTCCAGACATAGAGCTATTTCTGCATTCTTAGAATATGCCCAACTTAGTCATGGTATATTAATTTCTGATACATTATTGTTCACATAGTATAATTATTCTTTTCCTGAATCCTATTAATATTTTACATATAATTTTCACATCTCAAGCCCCAAACAAAATTAGTCTCTAGTGTTTATGTGTATTATTTTCATCATATTAAAATAATGTTATTTGAGATGATGAACTGGGGAGATTACTGCCTTTTTCTGAGGTATGGAATACTGTAAATCTGAGCTTTGAAGAGGTCTGGGCATGTTTGTGTCACGCTGGGCTCCTAGACTAACCTGGGCAGGCACTGCGCCTGGTACCCTGGTCAGCAGGGCCAGAAATGGAAGGCCTTCTTTAGGGAGAGGACACAGAAGACAGGAGGGCCACACGGGTGGGTCTTGGTGGTAGGAGTCAGAGAGAGGTTTTCCTAGGAACGTTTTAAAATCTGCTCTCACATGCAAATGTGACCAAAGGTGTGACAGCACAGGAAGCACAACTGCAAGATTAATCTGGGGCGGGAATTTGTGAGCAAGCATTGCCATCAGCCTGCAGAAAAGCACAGACAGAAGTCTCTATGCACAGTGCGGAGAAAGACAAGAAGCTCACCTCCATGACCACTGTCACCTGCCTCAGTGATGAGAACCTGACAAGCATTCACAGTGCTGCCTGTGTGCCAGGTGCTGTTCCGAGTGCTGTCCCCAGCTTTCTTACCCTGATACTGGGCAGCAGACACTCACTGTTACCCTCTGACCCAGAACACTGTGGCCCCATAGCTTGCACCGTTGGGGGGATGGGGAGGAGCTTTAACTCAACTCCAGAAAAGCTGGCTTCAAGGTCTGTGTTTAGTGAGCCCTTACTGCCATGTTGCAGAATCATTTTCGGGTCCCTTCACAACACTTGGCATTTGTGCAGACAGCAGGCTCCCAGCTTGATTCTGTCACACATGTTACTGCTTGTTTTGCAGAGTTCACACTTACCTCCAAGTCTGAAGAAATGAATTTATAAGCTATATTCCAGCACAGGGTGCCATAATTTTTTCTCTCATTGATCACAGCATTGAAAAAGCACAGGCTGAATAAAAGTTTTTTCCACCACTGTCCATAGTCAGGATTTTCAAATATCTCTTCTGTCACCTCTCCACCACCACTGTATCCAAACATCTGGAGCAAGTTGCTTTTCAGTCCCTGGGGAAGCTCCACAGCAACCTTGGAGACAGATGAGAACAGACGTCATATGAGTACAGATGTAGGCTCTGCTTTGGCCAACACAGGGAGGTTGTGAAGAGAGAGGCTGTGTTGAGGTTCATGGCAAAGAAAAACCTTCTGCTGTCTGCAAGCTGATCTGATGGACCCCCTGGGTTGTCCTGACTGTCTCTGCAGCACAGGGAGCAGGGCACTGAGGAGTCTGGGGGAAGCAGACTCACCTGTCAGTGGCAGCTGAGGGCTGCAGGGTTAGACACTGGCCCAGCCAGCACGGCCCATGCCATCCGTATTGGAATGCATGGTGCCTTACTGCATGTTTTGATGGCAGTGAAAACATACTTATTCTGATATGCAAGGAAGTTCATGGGTGTGTGTGTGTGCGTGCGCACATGCATGTGCACACTTGTCAATATGAGACTTCCAGATTTGGGATCAGAGTGATTATTTACGCATGCAGCAACTCGATTTATCCCCACCTGGGTGATGGGGAGCCAGGCACACTTCAAGTGTCCTGCACAGGAAGAATGGAGGGGGTCATGGGGCTTACAGAAAGTGGCTGGTATTGGGGAGAGAAAAGATGGGGAAAGGACCAGGTCTCTGGGTTTCTACAGCTTCTCTGGAACATAAACAAACACCTTTCATTTTATTCCCTGAAGCTTCTCTGCCCCATCACCCTTAGAACTGGAGCCAGTGGCTCTGGGAAGTGGGAAAATGTTGGGTAGATGAGAGATCCCATCTCAGCATGCTGCCTTTCAGACATCTTTAATGCAGGTTGCCTGTTGTCTTTGTTCAAAAAGCCCTAATTGTGTAAGGATGGGAAGGAATTCATGCAGCACTGTTTCATGACTTTGTGATCAATTCTTTTGGGAAGGTCCTTCTCCCATCTCTGAAAGCAGGGACAGTATGTGCCCGACCCTTTAGGAATATATCTGTAGGAGAAGGTAAGAGAGAGGTAAGAGGATGAGGAGAGGCAGGGAGGGAGAGAGATTTCATCTTTGGTGACAGTATTCTTTTTTCATCAGCATAAATGCATCATTTTCCTAGAGGTGAGCAACTTGAAATTGTATGAAATTTTAAGTCTTTCTCTCCAGATAATGTATACATAGTCATATAAAAGCAATCCTTTCTGTTGATCTCTGATGTTTGCCTTGTCAGATTGTATGAGAATGTTATTTCACAGAACCTTAACAGTATTAACATCTCATCTGCTTTTAAACATTGTGTGTTTGAGGGCAAGCAAAGGTATCTCCTTTGTCTGATTTGTGCTTCTCTGATCTCTAAAGTCTGAACTTTTGCTGTTTCTATGTTTATTGACGTTTTGATTCTGTGCTCACTTTTATGGGATGTTAATGTTTTCCTAACTTATTTGTTGGAGCTCTTATTTATGTATTAAGAAAGCTGCCATCTGTCTGTGTAGATAATGCTGAAAGACAGAGTCCTATAAAGGTTTCTGTTTGCAACAATTAAAATCCCCCCACTCCTGGCCAAAGGAAAAGGCTCACTGAGGCCATAACCTGCCGCCCCTGGGAGACACACAGATCCCTCAAGTCTTGAACTCCCAGGCCCAGGTCTCTGTGCCTAGGGCAGGGTGGCTGGGGAGGGAGCTAGGACAGCAGGAGCACTGTGACAGGAGGAACTTCTAGTTCCATGGAGTCACACTTGTCCCCGGGCTGGTGGGGGCTCTGTTAGAAGCTGCTCCTCACCATCTTCTCTTCCACCCTGGTTCTGTTAGAGATAGATGGGTCCACACCTGTCTATGCAGCACTCAGCTACACAACTGCTCAACCCCTCTGCTGCGAGGACATCATCCATGGCCAGGTGGACACCGTCAGCACAGATGACCAAGTCTTGCTATCTACTCAGCCTCAAGATGGGCATCAGAAGAAGTCACACATAATCTTTGGCCATCATCTTTTACTAAGTAGTTTCACTCTGATTTCTGGGAGATCTTTATGGAGAATCACAATGAGGAGTAGAAATAAGAAAAAGCTACATAAATAAAGGGCCAGAAGAGGAAATAAATTGTGTATTTTGGGTTATAATAGTTGGAAGCTTGGCAGCCTTGTGTGAGAAAACAAACCTCTGAATTGTGAATGATTTAAAGTCTCCTTCTTGGTCCCCAGCACAGGTCCATACAAAGCAATTTAGGGCACCAGAATCAGTATCCTTGTCAATTTAGATTAAGAATGCAAGATGACTTACGTTCAAATGGGGCTCCCAGTCAATATTAACATATGCTATTTCTTGTTCCTACCTTTACACCCTTTTGAAGAATAGGAATTGGGAAGGAACTGTCTGACTTGGAGCTTAACCATAGCCTAAATTCAGGGTCTATGGTTACATCTGGCCTGTTAAATCTGAAAAATAAAAAATTTATAAATATTTTAATGTAAACATTTAAATAAACATGCTCTTTGAATCAGCATCTGTTTGAAGTGGGTTTATAAATAGTTTTGCTCAAGAGTGTGACCTTAAAAAATTTTTACTCAAGAGTATCAGATATCTTATCACAAGAGCTTTCATGTTACACAAGATTTTGCAGACAGTGCATCAACTCTTAGAAATTAAAAACAAAATGAAGGTTCCATTGTTCAAACCTGAGAACCTGAACCTCAAAACAATGATGCTAGTAACCAATTATAACCCATTGAATAAAATGAGGACCAATGAGCTCATAGTGATATGAATAAATGAACAAATGAACAAATAGGAGAGAAAGAAATGCTTTTCCTCCTAGCAGAGAACCATTAAACAATCTCCTTCCTCTGTGCTGCTGGAGATTGAACCCAAGGCCTGTGTGTGCTAAGTATGCTCTTCATACTAAGCTACTCTTGCAGTCCCATTCAATAAATCGAAGAGGAGCTGTGGCAAATAACATAGTAATGATTCAGTCAAAAATTACCAAGAGTGTTGGAACCTACACAATCTTAAAGTCTGCACAGTGACAGATAACACCACAGTAGCATGATCAAAATGAAATCAGTTTAGTTTTATTTTTGTTTTTTGAGACAAAGTTTTGCTATGTAGCCCAGGCTGGCCTTAAGCCAGTGATCCTCCTGCCTCAGCCTCCCCATGTTGGATACCAATTTCCAGAGACTCCTGTAGTAAGTCTCTAGTCCCCTCCTGCCCAGTGTGTGATTCGAGGTTGAAAATAAAGTTAAGACAGAGTTAAAGAGAAAGTGTAAACTGGGATGGCCAATGCTTCTTTGGCAAAAGGCACTGGCCTTTTCTTCTACTGAATTTTATTATTCATCAATCAGGGTAAAGGTGCATGTGCAGTAGGTGAAATTACCATGGAAACTAATACAGGCAAGGCTTTAAACAGAAGTCAAAGCATTTTCAAATTGGAAGCGAGACAGACAAAATATATGGTTGTAATTAGAGCATTGTCCTTCAAACTATGAAGGTACTAATTGTGGGAATGGAATTTGGGTGTGATTACTCTAACCTCCGCTATGGATGTCATATTATACAGCTTCAAAGGCCGTTACTCTGGTCTCAACTATGGCCATTAGCAGGGAGGTCTTGTTATCCTGAATGCTACCACAGTGCTCATGAGATGCTTCTGTGAATCATGTAGCTTCAGTCAGACTCACTTCTTAAAATAAACCAATGGAGGGAGTTAACTCTTCGCAGCATGCACTGCTTACAGCGTCTTTTGGGTATTATCAATATTGTGAGCTCTGGCACTTGGGTTACAGGTGTGCACCATGGCAGCAAGCTACTGCATGTTTTTGATAGTTAACTGGATCCCTTATAAATAAATACAAAATGCTTACGACTCCACAATGGCACAAAGCTGTGGCATAAATGCTGCTGCCAGGTGGCAGTTCTGCAGGAAAACCCACTGCTGCCTTTTGCTTAGAGCCTTGACAAGGAGTTCTTCTGCTCTGGCCACCTGGCCCCGGGCCAAGGAAATTGTGGTCACGTGGTGTGTTGTTCCTTTTACCTCTTGTGCAAATCTCAGGAGGATACTGGTGAGGTCAAGCTCTGTGTGACCTGTGGAGAGGTAACAAAAAATGTAAGCTCACCCAATTCCTTGTTTAAAGGGGGGCCCAGTGTTTACTGGGTGGCAATGGGGAGATCACAGGCTGTTGAGTTAGAGCCCTTCACACTTGAGCTGTCTTAATCACTCCATCCACCCCTGCATCTATATGTCCCTTTCTCTCACAGATGGCCCCAGGATGCTTGAGGTACTGTATGCTCAGGTCTACCATCCTGCTTGTGGCAGATCCTGCAGCTGGGCATGGGCAGTGAGGCTTTGTAAGTTTTGGTGACAGGTGTTCAGTCAAACCTTGGCTTTCTCCTGAGAAGCAGGGTGAGCCCTGTGTTCCTCCTTCTGCTCCACTGTGTGGAACATAGGGTGGTGGCAGCAGCCTGGGGAAGGAGCTCTAGATAAGCCCATGGCCTAATAGGTCAAAGTTGGGAAATGGTGAACTCTGAAGAATGTGATTTGGAGATTGTGAAGATCAAAAAGTAAATAAAGAAAATGTTCTGTTTAGGAGGAAATATTTTACTCAGGCTCCACAGAGCAAAGACAAAACAAACCAAACCAGAGAAGAGCGGTGAAAGAGCCTCTCACAGATTTGGTCTCCAGATACTGGAATATAGCAATATGAGGAAAGGAAGAAGGGGGGAAGTGGGTCTCTGACACCCAGAAAGGATCTGAAGTGAGAAACGAAGCCCAAGGGGAGAGCAAAGAGAGGTGTCTCAATGCAGAAGAAGGTGGCAAGTAGCACTTTTTCCCTGAGCCCTGCCATGCTGTGTGGGGGGAACAGCCTGAACCTGCAGATGCTTGGTGACTACTGGTGACTCCAGAGGCCTCCATGTAGAAGTACACCAGTAGAACAGAGCAGTGGACACAGAAGATAGCAGTGGCTAGTAAGTTATTCAGGTTGAGGTGTCCCTCAGGAGAGGGTGATTGGCCTGTCCCCATTTTGGAGAGGGGCCAACTGAGCTCAGAACTCAGGGCAGTTGTAGGCTCACTCCATCTAATGGGTCCCAGTATCAGGGTGAAGTGGAGTCAAGTTCAAGTTGACAGGAGGTCAAGGAGCTGAGTTCAAGCTGGCAGGAGACACACAAGAGTGTTGCAGGCTGAACAACCTGGGTTCCAAACTCATAGACACCAGCCTAAACTTAAGTGGAATCAAAGGTGCAGGCTGGCTGGAATTATTTACCACCCCACCACCATAAATCTACTCCTGGCTTGCTGGGATTAATCAGCATGGATCTGGGCTCTGTCTGCTCACTTTGTCTACCAGTGATAACAGAGACACATTCTGAAGCGGACTTTTTTCCTTGATTTGTTTTTATGAGTGTGAACATTGTTTCTAGTTCTTTTTGGTTGTTGTTTTGCTCTGTTATTTTTATTTCTTCCTTTTCTCTTTTCCTCCTGTCTTCTTCACCAGTTTCCCAAACTTTGTGTAATATTATTTTGTCCTCTCCCCGTGCTTCTAATCTCTTTCTCTTCTGTTTATCTATTTTTCTCCACAATCTCTTTTAAATTTTCTTCCCTGAGGGTAAAACTGCCATTTTGAGGGCATATTCACTGTATGCAATTTTCTGGTTTTAGATTTTGTTATATAACCACAAATCTAGTTCATATGGTTAAAAGCAGCAAATTAATACTTACCACAGTTTGTAATTTTCTAGGCTGTGTTTGATGCTATTGTACTACTTTAGCCAAAGTGACACACTGCTCTAATTAATTGTTCTTCCTGGCATGACAAGACTGAGATTGCCTGAGGGTCATAAACAGCACTATGGGCCAGTGCCAAAGAAACAAGGGTTATGTCAGATAGGCAGCAACTTCTCAGCCCCCCCAAAATTGAAGAGGTAGGATGTTGTTACAGGCTCAAAATCCAAAAGCCAGCTACCCCTGGAAGAGATCTCAAGAAGAAGTCATTCCCTAAGAGTTCTTGATTAGCAATAAAGCTACCTGCCATAAACAATTTACAAGTATCCACCCAAGAATTAAAGTAAAAAAGAAAATGAGAAGGCATGGAAGCAAGATGCAACACCAGACTTCAAGCTGGCCAAAGGCAATTCTAGGGGGCAATGAGGCAGAACAATTTGAATGCCACCCATCTGGACTCTTTGAAGTGGTAACACCAGAAGTAAAAAAAGCAGACATATGAAAAAATCAAATAGAAAAAAATCAAATCAGAAATTTCTCAGGCCTTGACCAGCACCCAGCGGAAGGTGGAAGGTGGAAGGTGGAGGTCTGGGACAGCTGCTCTGAGATCTGTTCTCCCTCCGCCCTGCCTGGGCCCAATTGGTGAGGATTAGCTTGCTGTGCGGGCACCCCTGCAACACTACCGCCCACCACTCTCAGGCCTCCTGATTGTGCCAGTCCTTGCATCCACTCTGCAGAGGCACAGGTGGTCATAAAGGGCATTTTTCTGAGCTCCAGACTTTGAACATCTTTAAAGAAAGGGCAGAGGGAATGTGTAGTAGAACTTTGCAGAGTTCAACCCTGCAGGAGGTCAGGGAACTCAATTTGGGCCTTGCAGCCTGAAATCAGTCTGAATCTCAGGGGTCTGCCATCAGCTAGCTGAGATCAAAGGACTTAGTTCTGCACATGGCTGCGCATGTTGTATACTATGACAGCAGATTTATAGTCTGAAAGTGGCCCTTCAAATTCAAATTCTTTCTCTTTTCCTCATTCCACTCTGCAAATTCTTTCTTTTTTCTGTCCTCTTTTTCCAACTCAGTCTCTTGCTCCACCATATTATCCCTTACGTTCCTTTCTGTTCCTGTTCCTGCCCTAACTCAGATTTCTTCTATCATTTTTTCTTTTTTCTTTATGTTCTTTTCTTCTCTCATTTTACTTCACGCAAGGGTCAATAGTTTTAAATGAAAGTGAGCCCCTATTACTGTTAAGTTGTTATATTCTTGTCCTTATTCTTGCACTCTGTCTTTACCTTTTGACTTTAACAGTTTCTTAAAGATTGTATGGTCATCTTATGTCCTCTAGCTTCACTTGAAACCTTCTCCAATTCTTTTACATATCTACTCCTCTTGTCCTAATGCTAAGCCCCCAGCCTAAATGGTAAAGATGCTATATTGAACAGCCTATTCACTGCAAACATATTTTGGGCTGTTTCTTGATTTTAATTTAATTCATATGGTTTAAAGGTGATAGATTAATGACAACCACAAGTGGTCAATTTGTAAGTTGTGCTTGATCCTATTGTGTTGCGGACTGTATCAATTGAGCTAAAGGATTGTGAGTGACTTAATGAGTTGTCTTCTTGGATATTATGAAAATGAGAAGTCTATGAGTCATTACAGACTCAAAAGCTAAAGTGCAACTGTATCAGGAATATTTAAGTAATAACCCAGGAATTAAACCAAGAACAACCCAACAACAAAAATAAAAATGAGAGAACACTTAAGTAAGACACAAAGAAAGACTTCCAGTTCACCAATGGCAAATAGTAGGGCAAATGGGGATGAAAAGTCTGATAGTGAACCACCAGGACACCCTGAACTCATAGCATATGAAGTAACAAAACAGATCAATCAGGCTCTAGAAAAATTCAAAACAGAAATAATTTCCCAGATGACCATAGAGATGGTGAGCAAAATGAAAGTCATGATTAGAGATTTTAGAACAGAAACTGAAAAAAAAAAAAAAAACAGATGAGCTCAGGACCATGATAGAAGCCATGAAGGCCCAGAATAAGAAAGAAATGGAAACAATGAATGCCCAACATAGGAAAGAAATGGAATCCACAAAACAGATTCAAACAGATACCTTGGAGATTAAAAACTCGATTTAAAGTTTTAGCAGCAGAATAAAAGAATGCGAAGACAGAATCTCAGAAGACAGGATTGCAGTGAGTGACTGTGAAAAGAGAGGTCTCTTAAAATCAGTAAGGGATCATGAGAAATCGATCCAACAATTCCTAGATGATGCAAAGAAGAATAACATAAGCCTGATAGGAATCCATGAAGTAGCAGGAGAAAATACAAATGGCTTAAAAAAGCTGTTCACAGAATTAATGACAGAAAACTTCCCAAACAGAGGGGAAGAATTTGACATTCAGATAACTGAGGCATATAGGACTCCAACTAGACACAATAAAAATAAATCTACACCTAGCCATATAATAATCAAGATCACAGAAACCCAACGGAAGAACACAATACTACAAGCAGTAAGAGAAAAGAAACAAATCATAAGCAAAGGAAAGCCCATCAGAATCACAATATACTTTTCAACACAGACCCTCAGGTCAAGGAGAGCCTGGAGTGAGGTATTTCAAGTCATAAAAGAAAACAACCTCCAACCTAGACTGATGTATCCTGCAAAACTCCCTTTCAAAATGGATGGGAAATAAGATACTTCCATGACAAAGAACACCTGAGAAACTTCATGAATACCAAACCAGCACTACAAGGAATTCTAAACAATATCCTAGAAAAAGACAATGAAGGTCACAACACCATGAGGCCCAACAGAGATAATCAAATAGGCAAGGCAAGAAACTAAAAGGAGAGGGGGGAAAAAGTAAAAAGAGTCAACAAAAGGACAATAACATGAAGACAGTACATATCAGTTATTACCATCAATGTCAATGGCCTCCATTCACTAATCAAGAGAAACAGACTGGCAGAATGGATTAAGAAGCAAATCCAACAATATGTTGTATAAAAGAAACACACCTAGTGCAAAAAGAAGCCCACAGACTGAAAGTGGAAGGATGGAAAACAATTCTCCACATGACAGGAGCCCAGAAAAAAGCAGGGGTAGCTACCTTATTCACAGACAAAGTAAATTTCAAACCAAACCTGATTAAGAGAGCCAAAGAAGGCCACTACACATCCTTATAAAGGGAACAATTCAAGAGGAAGAGATGACAATCATAAACATATATGCACCAAATATTAATGCCCCAACTATATAACAAATATTAAGTAACATGAAAAACCAAATAAGCACTAATACAATTGTAGTGGGGGATCTAAATACCCCACTATCACAAATAGATCAT